ACGAAAACATTGGTGAATGCCACAAATTCTCCTAAATCACTCGTACGCACAACTTAAGAACAAATCTGTGCGTACGAACGGTTCTTGCATGAGGCCCATTAATCAGGAAAGTAACTTTTAGTACTTGTACACACTCTCTAAGAAATGAAGTGTTAAATTTACTTGTTTAAATTACAGTATGTCAGTTGATTCTGCTAAACTAAATAGAGTAAATAAAACTTGGTTCAGTGGAACAAGTTGATGTAACTTGGTTAAGTAAATTCAACCCTTCATTGTTTAGAGTACATGAGCATTTACTTCAATAATGAGTTCTGGTCATATTTAAATTTGTAATGTGTAACTAGGTGAAGTAAAGTAAAAGTATATTTTTTTATATTTTGACTGTAATTAAATATAAGTAAAAGTTATGCTATTAAAATATCCTTGGTAAAACTACAGAGTACTGCAACAACATGTACTTTGTTACTATACATCTCTGCATTTTGGCCTTTTGAAGTTGCAGATGGAGTGATCCATATAAGTTCAGTGTGGACATATTGTGCACAATCTACCTTTTTAGCCATTAAATGCATTTTGTTGGATTTTCTACAGTGCAAAAAAGTTTAATTTAGTCCTGGTGCTGCAAAGATAACATTATATTCTGTTTGGGTCATATTCAACCCCATTCAGTTTTCTCCATTTTCCATGATGTTTTCAGAACACATAAACATAGTTGCTGWATAGTTAATAAAACATGGGCTTTATGTTGGTGATCAAGGTTTCCCCCTTTTTTTCCAGAGAGAATCATGTTAGGTAGTGATTCTTTAATTCCTTTTAACTGTGTTTCATAAATGCATTTTATAGTTTCTAAAAAACGTCTGAAAGTTGTTTTTTTATGCAACGAAAATATTAATGTCTATCATCGTATGGCATTTTAAAAGGATAGGAAATGTAAAAARTGWTTTCAAAWTTCTAGGTTTAGCATTCCTTRAAGAAATGCATGTCACTCAGCACTWTGAATGCWAATGTTTTTAAGCAAAAAAGTCACAACMTATTAGCATCATTTGGGAAAGACTCTCAGCTACTACCACACCAAACTTTAGCTCAATATCTGTTAAAATGACTGAGTTGGAGACATTTTWGTGTTTTCTAAAGGCAAATGGCTACAAGCATCTTATATCTGGTTCACTTTGAAAAGCAATCACTCGTCTGAGAGCTTTGTTCAGATTTGTCCAGTTCAAAATATATTTTGCTAACAGACAAATACACACATATATTGRCGCAGACAAGTATTGTATTATCTGATTACCATTTTTTAAAGGGTCAATATTATGTGTTTCTCAGGCAAACATTTAAATACTATACCAAAATAAAGTATCTATGTCCCCTTTAGTTG